GAAGGAGCAATTGTGGGGCCGCGATGCCATCTTAGATGAATTCAAGTTTCTATTTGCTGCGGGCCCAACAAGTGATGGAGAGTGCTGCAAACATATATTGAAGGGATATCAACTTCGAGATTGGTGATTGGGTTTTTCTTGAACTACAGTCGTCCTGTCAAAACGTCCGTTGCTACCTATCCCTTTCAAAAGCTTGTTGCACGGTTTTTATGACTCCTTTTAGATCACCCAACGGATCAGGGACGTGGCATACAAACTTCAGCTTCCTGAGTCGGCTCGTGTACACTCGGTGTTTCATGTGTCGCAACTTAAAAAGGCTATCGGATTTCAAACGACTTTTTCTCTTTTTTTAACTTCGCAAATCGACGAGCATTTGGAGCTAGAGGTGCGTCCTGAGGCTGTCTTGGAGTGCGTATGATGGATTCCATGGAGGGTCATTGACTCGAGGTTTTGCTTAAATTGCAGAACTTACCAGACTTTGAAGCTACATGGGAGGATTTTACAACGATGCAAAGAGTCTTTCCTGCGTTTCACCTTGAAGACAAGGTGACTCTCGGGGAGTGAGTTGATGTTGTGCCTCCAATTTAATTCACATATAGTCGAAGGGGAGGCTGCATAACAAGAAGGATYAGTAAAGCATATGAATTAAAAGCATTTCCAATTTTGTCAAATTATGTTGGTAAAGGACTAAAGGGTAGTTTTGGGTTTTTCTTTTTCCTAAGTGTTGGTTCTTCTAAAAATAATTGTGGGGTTTTTCTTTTTCTTAAGGTTGTGTAAAGAATACAGAGTTTTTTYAGGAGGGACTAGCCTCTCGAACATGCTAGTATGGTTATTCTTTAAGTAATTCCAATTTGGGTTGTTGATTTCTCATAATTCTCTGTGTTGGTTGTATTCAATACCTTGATTCTTAACACTATGTTTTATGGGTCTGAGTGTTGGGTGATGAAGAAGGTGTATGAGAGGAAAATTGAAGTTGCATAAATGAGGTAGTTAGGTGGATTGTTGGCTTGTTGCAGGACCATGTTCGACAAGATACCAAATGGGTCTTCCAAGCAGAGCTCAGAGTTGCTCCTATTACGTGTAAACTGAGAGAGCAGAACTTTTGGTGGTTTGGGCACGTTTGCACAGACAACTAATGACTCCGGTGAGAAGGGTAGAGAGGCTAACGGTCGAGGAGCTGTAGAGGAAACATACCGAGGASGATGTGGGATAAGAAGCTGAGGTTTTATATTTCGGCCTTGGATACTTTTCAAAAACATGACCTTAGATAAGATTTCTTGATGTCAAATTAAGGTAGTTGATTATTTGTAAGAAACTATTCGGTATTGCAGTTTGGGGCAGGGGGACAAGACGRTACAGGGCGAGTTGGGGGAAGGTTAGAGACCCGACTCGAGACAAAAGTTTGTAGTTTAATAGGCTAGTCAAGGGAGGGCTCTTTTTAGTAGTGAGACGTGTTCAGGTTAGCTACTTTTTTATCTCCACTTTTTTCCCAGGCTCTTATCTTTTCTGTCTATAATTGTTTAGCTTGTTTTCTTTCTTTCCTTTAGTTGTTTTGTTCTCCCTCAAACATTCTTTCTTCAAAGGGGTCTTTTGCTCGGTGCTCATTCCAACTCTTTTTAAAAGCTTGTTGCTTCTTGCTTATGTGTTAACATTCTTGAGCCAGGTGTCTACACAAGAACATGCTCTCTACCCCATGGGCAGACTTATTAAGAGCTGATTGGGCTCCCATGCAACCCGTTCACTCGATTATTGTAAGAGAAAACTTTAGGGTCTGGAAGGTGCACCAGCTTTATTTTGAAGGGCGCTCTTAAATATTTTTGWAACCAAGTTTATAACATATATCAAACATGGATGAGATGGTTTAGATAATTAAATTAAGTTGTGAAATACAATAGGTTGCAGGTTCGATACTTACATCTAGCAAATATTTAATTTTTGATCTTTCAAGTTTCACCTCTAAGGCTTGACCCTACAATGTTATTACTAAAAATATCAATATTAAAGATAAAACTACATCCAACTGAAATTTTGTATTTTATTCTCCAAATYGACACAATTGACTTCCCCAGGTCAAATCGCTACTTTGTGGACCCTTGATCTACCTTAAAGGTGCACCTACTTAGAAAAATTCCTTGGTCCGCCACTTGTCTTTACCCCGTGGGGTAGAGGAAATTTCTATGTACATCTTACTCATCCGAGATCCTACTGCTAAGGATGATGAGATYATTGTTTTCCAAATCGTAACATGAGGTAGAGGGAGGCACAAATTTAGGCAGTGAGCAGTGTAGAGGTGGAGGCCTTCGGYTGGTGTTTGTCTGGCTGGTTCTTTCTTAGAGAAATCAGAGAAAACTAGAAGTTATACCTTTTTAACTAAAACTTGTACTCTTTTATTTAAATACCGCAAGGGCCAGCTGTTTGTATAGTAAAAAGTGTCCAGTAAAAATAGGATTGTCCAATACCTCTGTGTGTGTATATATAATATCAATTTCCTTTGTCACTGATTTTGTTGTGCTTGAATATTATACATATATATATGTATATCATTGTATTTGTTTTCACTATCTTGTGTTGTGTATTTTATTGTATCGTACTATTTGTATATATTTTGCATAGATACTGTATTGTATATATTCGTCGAGAATCTTGTGCTATATATATTTAGTAGTACATATATTGCATTATACTATTTGTATATATATATATATATCGTATATACCTTATGATAAATATCCGCCATAAATATCCGTCTCAAGACATACGCCTTGGACCTCCTCGAGGCTTACACCTGGTGTGCCTTGCCAAGGGAAAACGCCTCAAGGCCCAATTATGTTTTTTRACACCTTGGATGAAATGGAACAAGAAGTTGTGAGTAATTGCTTAGGAAGGAGTTTTGAGATTAAGACTTTGGGGAAGTTGAAGTATTCTATAGGAATTGAGGTGGCATGTTCCATAAAGTGATTATTTTTATCCCAAGAGGAGCATGTTCCTGAAAYGCTATGTAAACCTGCACGTACATCAATGGAGCCAAATTGTAAGCTAGCATGTACTAGTGCCTTGTAGGACGACTCATTTATTTGGTACATACAAGATATTGTCTATGCTTTAAGCATGGGTAGTTGGTTTATGCATAATTGTAAAGAATCCCACTCTCAAAAAGTGTATAGAATTTTGCAATGCTGGATGGAACTCGAAGAAGAGGAGTCTTGTACAAGAAGGAATGGAAGTGCGAGATTTGAAGCGGTACAAATGCATTGTTGCATGCAGACTCAATTATTGGACTGTGATCAGAGGGACAGAGAGAAGAAGTATTCTTATTTACTGAATGAATAATTACAAAGGAGAGGCGTGTATATATATAGACACAAATAAGAAACCCAAACCCAAATAAGCAAAGGCCCGTACGGCCCAACAGAAACCCTAAACAGACATAATATTTACAATATATTCTAACACTCCCCCTCAAGCTGGAGCATAGATATTGATCATGCCCAGCTTGCTACAAATATAAGTGATTTGACTCCCGGGTAGTGCTTTTGTGAAGACATCGGCTAATTGATCCNTGACGACGGCAGGAGGTTTTCAGAGTGGCTCTGATACCATGTGATCAGAGGGACAGAGAGAAGAAGTATTCTTATTTACTGAATGAATAATTATAAAGGAGAGGCGTGTATATATATAGACACAAATAAGAAACCCAAACCCAAATAAGCAAAGGCCCGTACGGCCCAACAGAAACCCTAAACAGACATAATATTTATAATATATTCTAACATGGACAAAGATCGACATTAGGTCACCATACCTTCCATGGAGAGAATCTTGTTACAGAGAAGCCAAAAACAGGGGAAATAGCTCATTCTAGTATTGATGCAGAGTTTCATACCATAATAAAGTAGCAATAATCGTAGCACACAAACCATTATCATGTCGATACAAAACATATCAAGGTGGTTAGCCATTTCATCGAGTAGGAAATAGACAATGGCTTGATATGCACACCATGTGTCAACTGTCAACGCAGGGACGGCTTGCTGATATTCTCAATGAAGGACCAAATAGCTCTATGTTTGAGAGTACTGTATCCAAGCTTGGAACGAAAATTTCATATTCGTCTTGAGAGGCAGTGTGGGAATTTGTCGCATTAGTTTAGGAAGATTAATAAGTAATTAGGCTTAAAAGGGATTTAAGTTTAAAAGGTGTAAAGCATGCAGGATAGGTTCCTGCAATGTAACAGATCTTTCTTAGTTCAGTTTCTTGATTTTATGTTGCATTCTTTTTAAGCATAACTGATTAGGAGGATCAGTAGATTAACTACTTCAGACCCTAAATTGTTAATCTCTATTTTMTTTGAACGMGTTTCGATCGCATAAAAGCTTGGAGAAGCAAAACAACATATCTGCATGCAGAAACACCAAAAATAGCATATGAGATGATTACATGGGATCATGCCGTTGGGACCTCTCGACCTAAAAATATTCTATGCTTGTGGTTCTCACTATCAGTTGTTTCATACATTTAAGTCCAATACTAGATTGCCTTTAGCCMTGCTTGTTTAGCAGTAAATCTTAGAACTGTTTTGTATGTGATCCAAGTGTCCAAGATAGGCCAGCAGGATCTAAATACCACTGGCTATGGCATTGAATAGGTTTCTTATCATAGTTGACAAGTAGCATTTATATCATACTAAATGCCTCCATTGTAGGTGGCCATGATTGTATCGTGGCAAAAGATGATATGTTGTGGGGGGTTGTGTTTGTCATGGTGGGGCTATTGGTTTGGCTCATCTTGGTTGACTTGCTCTAGTCATGHGGTGGTGTATGTGAACTTAATTGGCAGCTGCAAAATTATACATATTTTCCCTTTTCTTGGATAGTCAGCCTTGTGAAATGAGACGAACATCATCATCTATGTCGATGCCAATTTCTTTTCAATGGGCTATATTTTCTGCCTTACTAGCTTACTATAGTATACATGCTCTTCATGCTGTGCACTTGTTACAGATGTGCGCTGGATGCTGAAGTTTCAAAGTACGTGGCAGAATCTTATCCAAAAGGTGTCTGCTCGGTTTACTGTACGAGTGGAAAAGATGTGGAAGAACCTGGATTCGATTTTGAACTTGTTGTGTTAATTACAGCTAYGCGACTCAGCCCACAAAACTTTTGGTAGGTTGACTTACAGGAACTGTTGGTACATCTTATCTCACTTCTGCACTGGGTATTACTTTATGCCATGTAATTTAATTAACCACACTTGTTTTTTCATAACTTAATTTTGTACGTTGTTGTTCTTAAATCATAAGTGCCAATTATAGCCTGATAAAAGGGTTGCTCTTCATCTCTGAAACCAATCCTCTCTGTTACTACATTCTCTCTTGTTCATTATGTCTTTYACTTTATGATGTATTAGCAATGGAAGTTGGCGCTCAATATGGAACATTGAAWTYATGGATGAACTACAAACTGTGGAAGTAAGAGGAAAAATGCAGGTAACCCTTGCAGTATCTCAGAATTTTCTTTTTGTTCATGTCCATAAAAGATAACTTAGTGATATCCTGTAATGTGAATGTAAATCCAGGTGGGTGCTCACTATTTTGAAGAAGGGAATGTCCAGCTTGATGCACAGCATGAATGCAAGGATTCAACTATGTTTCAGGTTACTATGACAAATTCAGCTGAACTCACCTGCACGTTGTATGTTTTTTCGTTTACTTGTTTTCTACAACTCYGAGCTATAAGTCCATAAATAACTATGCTAGTTGTTATAGGTGATGGTGATCCCTTCCTTTTTTAGCTGTAGGATCTTGAGATCATACAATGGTCCACATAGCATATACCTACTGGAAGAGCATCTTAGTTTCTGTTGGCTTTCGTGGTGAATCTACACCAACTAGCATCATGGGTGGAGCTATCCAAATTGCTTGTGAAATCATGATTTTTGTATTGGCGTAGTATGAATTTTCTAGCCGCTTAATGTGCAACCATACTTTTTGTCATTGAAACCGTAAACATTTTTTTTGGGTGAAACCATTAACCTAACCGATAACCCTAACTCTTCAAAGAGATGAAATTTCGATTGATATTAATTTCTGTTAATATTTAGGGTAAACTTGTTTTTGTTTAATGTTATATTTGGATTTTAAGGTTGATTGCTATTTTTTGTGTTTAGGATTTACTTGATTGTATTTAGGACCGGYTCTTTAGGGTTAATTGGTTTAATGCTAATTTATTTATATTCATGTTAACATAWTAACATATTAATTTGAGGCCAACTCTCTAAGCGTAAATTTGTCTATATTAGGCACCAACCTTTTATATTTTAGGGTTAATTTGGAGCTCACTCTTTCGTGTTAATTTGTATATATATGGGGTAACTCTTTAGACTTTAAGATTATTATACTTATATTTGGGGTTAATCTGTTGGAATTGGCTTSGGCTTATAGGTAAGTGGATCAATAAGGCTAAAGGAGTGCAAGTGTGCAACTAAGGGTGTGCATTGTCACATTAATGGAAHTCTGATTAAATTAGAAACAATAATTAGTAGTAACAAAATGAACACGCACACATATGTATGCATCAGTGGGCATGCAGATTCTCATGGCTCTCATTTTTTGTGGTTCTCACATGAACCACCCCTATATATAATTTCAAGTGGTTTGCTTCCGATACCTGTTTTCTTAAAGTATCAAACTTAAAACGACATCCAATTTCAAGAACCGAAATATCAACCCGCTTTAAGAAGGTTGTTCAAAGATGGTGATCAGAGAGTGTAGAATATGCCGGGAAGAAGATGAAGAGTAWGATTTGTTTAAATTTTGTGCAAGGCATTTTGTGTAGTTACATTAATTTTCYATTCTTGATTTCTAATAATTTTTTATATCCTGCTGCATTGCTAGGATACATAACTAGTATTATTAATTTGTTTTTACAAAAACATCTTAATTAACTCTCTCGCCTCCTTGTAAAATTGGC